TGACCGGGAGGAAGCTAAGTGTAACCCATTTACGAAGAAGCCCAGAGGGTTAATATGAATCTTTAGGGTCTAAATGAAAACTTTGTAATATACTTTTATTAAAAATTCTCATTAGTATTGTAAGAAAACACAAATTTTACCTGGTCAAAAACAGCTCTGTTTTCAGCACGCCGTTTCAGTGCATATGCCTTTAAATGATAATGTACCTCGCTCACCCCGCCCCTCTGTTCTTTGGGGCGTTTTGATAATAATGATTATATAGATCAGTGGTTTTGACACAACACACGTGGAGTGTTGCCTTGACAACAGTTGAGGGAGTCTCTGATGTGTCCTCAGAGACTCCCGCTGTGCAACCATATCCGTTTGAAGTGAGAAATGATTCGCGCAAACATGAAAGCATTAACGTTGCTCGTGGGGAATATTCCCTTCGAAAACAAAACTCAGCCACTGCGTCTTCAGCGGTTCGGATTTAGGAACATCAAAATGACTGCTGTGTTCGTTATTACACCCAAGAACAGAACACCACAATCGCTTAGACGCCATTCTGCTCCAGCGTATCAACAATGACGGACTATGATGACAGCTCGCTCAGTGCGGGTCTGTGTTGAAACGCTGCTGTCAATCAACAATCGTGGGAGGGGCGTCCGATTTAGTGACGTCACAAAATCGAACGGCTCGATTTGAGACAGAGGAAAACATATAATGCTGGGTACACTAAAAGATAATCGGGCTGATTTTGGGCCGGTTTTCCCCCTTCCGACAATCCTAGCTATGTCCCGATTATCTTGATGGTTCTACAGATTATTTTATCAGATTTTCCCTTGGTGTGAGGTGTGTTAAGAGTGTCCGAACCTGCTCGGAAGAACGTCGGAGCCGCCCCGATCGCGAATCGTAAATATTCAACATGTTGAATATTTACGATCAGAAATCCTGATGTGTGGGGGGAACCCCGATGACAAACGTGCGCACGCTCTGGAGATTATCACGTGAAACGAAACAATATCCAATCAGAAAGCGAGATGATGGAAGACGGAAGCATAACAAACGCAGTCATGGTGTTGCAAAAAGTTAAATTGATGTGGACAGCAGAGATGGAGGATCAGCTTGTTGATTTGTGGCAACAGCACGAATGTTTTTCTGTGAAAATCATTCCAAACACTATCATCGCAATTTCTTCCTGCATATCGTCCGCCAAGCTTATTCTGAAGTCTCGCGAGATTTTGTGAGATTTCCTTTGTTCACAGTCGAGACTCTGGTTGAAAATCTGTTCGTGTGTGGTGTGCTGTCTTTGTCACATCATGGCACACCACACACTATAGGAGCAAAACGCTTAAATCTAGGATTTTTTGTCCTCATGTTTGTGGTCTATCACATTTTGAAAATCTTATAAGATGTAAAAAATCTTTTGGTGTGTACCCAGCATTAGGAGATTAAAACAAAAACACTGGATGGATTTTTATCATTATATGATGGTTGTGTACAAGCACTGCCAACACACATTTCAGTACAATCAACTTGTAAAAGTACATGTACCATTATATGACCCCTTTAAACCAAATACACAAAATAATTTTCTTTTTAGAACCATCATATGACCCCTTTAAATGAAATGGAGTGGCCAATATTGTTGCTTTAGTCAATAATCTATTTATGTATTTTACTCTGCCAAATCCAGCCCCGGTCTAACTGTGAGTCAAGCTCCTACTTCTGCTATTGAACTTAAAGGGATAGTTCATCCAAAAAATGAAAATTCTGTCAGTATTTAATCAAAAATATCTTAATTTGTGTTCCGAAGATGAACGAAAGTCTTACGGGGTTGGAACAACATAAGGGGGAGTAATTACTGACAGAATTTTTGGGTGAACTAACCCTTTAAGATGTGCAGTAGGGCTGGACATGATTATAAAGATATATTGCTCATGCCTGGGTGAATAGTATTCGCTGAGTTTTTTATGCATATGGGCTGAGAGGATGTCCATTCCTGCCACCTGCAGGTACTTTGAGAGTGCACCTGTATGCTCAAACACTTCCCTTAAATCCAGATGTACTCGTTACATCATAAGAAGAATGGCATCTACGCTAACTTTAGTGTCTTTGTTTATCCCGAGGTTTTCCCGCAGCCTGCCGGATCCAGGCCGTATCCAGATCTGACGAAGGAGCTTCGCCTGGACCCGATGACAATGCAGTGCTGAAGTGTCAACTATCCTCTCCCTATGGAGGATCCCTTTCCCACTCTACAGATAAAGCGTTGTTGAAAATCCGGTTCGCGTACCCCGAAGTGATAAAATAAAACAAAATTCTTTATCTAATGTATAGGCAAGACAAGTAGTTTGTTTAAGCATGGTTTGTAGGGAAATTACAAACCTGCGCACATATATTCAAACGAATATAACTATAGAATCAATTCTTAATGCGCATGTGAACACCATCAGGTCACAGGTTCGCGTTTAACCTGTTAACCAGCAGGGGGACGTGGGGGGGTGTTTATAATTTTATTACCCTTGTTTTATAGACAATATTCAATCAACTATCATAAACTATGCATCATTTGAAAGCTAAAACACTCAAGAATCATGTTCTGGACTTGTTTTTGCAATCAATACACCAGAGAGGAAAGGGTTAAATTAAATGCTGACAGACTGACCCTGTAAATATGAACAAAATGAACGGCAATACTTATCTTTCATCTCCTATGGTTCAGATCAGTTCGGACGAATCCAAGAAACACCAGCATACATTTCAATGTAAGGGTCTACTCTTCAAAATGCATCTCACTTTTAATACAAAACAACGAAAAAATAGGGAAAAAAACGAAATATCCCTCTTTGTTTTCATGAGCGCTTCCAGTTAGAGTAATCCATCATGTTCACTTTCGATGAAATAACAATTCTAATCTGTATTCCAATGTTCAAAAACGATCTCTCCCCCGTAGTTTAGACTGTTGACGATAAAATGAGTCCTTCCATCTTTCTCTCCTTCAATCACAGACTCTGAAATGACCAAAATATGAAGGGAGCGCAACAACAGGCTGCGCGACCTGTCATTCTCGCACCCCGGTTTTTCACTGGATAAAATCCATCCAATGTCTGGTCAGCAAAGTTTTGATGGATGGGAGTATTAACCAACTAAAACACGATTACAGTGCATGACAGTTTGCTTAGTTTACGTAAGCAGAGCTGTCTAAAACAAGGTCCTCCTCTCGTGCGCTCTTCGTCATTTTACGCACAGCGCGCACAGATTAGCCATTGTTTTGTTACACGGAGCTCGTTTCAACGCACGGACTTTCTCCAACGTTATATTTGACAATCTCCATCATGGAGCGTAGACTAAAGAAGATTTTTTGTGGTGTTGGGAGTGTATTGGGTGTATTGGACGCGGTGACGAGATACAGCGACGAAGAAAGCAGAAAGACACGGAGAGAGGCATCTCAGACAGAGAGCGCACAGTGTCCGTGCGTCGATTCGGCATGTTTGTTCATGGACTAGTCTCGACCCCGTTTTAGATTGGTAAGTTTCATCACGTTGTCTTGACTTTTTATGTTTATGAAGTATTGGCATTTTTTCTGTTCATGTCATGTTTTTGATTATAAAATGACAGTGGAGATGACAAAGACACGGGGCTATAAGAGTAGCTAGGTGATATAGGGCTGTATATTATGTGTAAGATCTGTTATGTTTTCCCCAATATCTGTTTGTCTTATGTTTGATTTTAAATGTCATTGTAAGCTTTTATGAAAGTTGAATAAAAAAAATAATAAAAAAGGGCTGTATATTATACATAAAGACATAATATTTATGTCACATGCACATTATATATAAAAAATATATATATTTATTACAAAGCATTTATAATCCTGAGCATTATAAGCATAAGGTAATTGACAAATAGGCATTTGTTATTGTAATATGATGTAATATTGATGCTCCTAAAATAAGGATGTCTCTAGTATTTGACTGGAACTGAAATCCTCTTTTGTGTGTGTTCCTGTGCTGTAAAATAGGCCTCCAACTGAAACAGATCCAGACTGGAATCCGGAGTCCAGTCCTGAGCGACGAAAGAGACCATGGCAGTCTTCATCTCCATCTGAATCTGCTTCAGCTAACATTACCAGAGGTAGAGGTACAGGGAGAGGGAGAGGGAGCCAGTCAGTACCTACTGTGTCTCTTGGCACCTCACAGTGCTAAGACGGTGAAAGATGGCACAATGTTGATGAGGATGTTTTTGCTATTAGAATTGTTCAAAATAAAGAGTATTTTGTTCAAATGTTGTGCTGAAATAGTTTTTTCCTGTGTGGTTTGATGGGCAGAAAAGTTCTGAATTGATATACATGTATGTTGTATGTAGTGTTTACTCCTTATGTCATTTGGTTACCAGGTGTCCATTTGGAGTCTCCAAATGGGCTAACCCTAACTGCGTGAAAAGAGCTGTAATCGGGCATGTAAAACTCCTGAGTACTCCTGTGTACTCCACAAATAAACGTGTGTGTACGGGAGTTTGCTGTCCCGTCACACAATCCCGAATACTCCTGGATATGTACCAAGTTTGGGGCACAGCAGGGAGCCACTAAGGGCCATCAGTTACCATGGTGAATAATCCCCCGGATGGGGTCAATGCAAGGGAATATTAGCATTTCACACCTTTGGGACACAAGGCAGTGGCCTCCTTCAATTGGTCAGAGGTCTTACATAGGATTGGCTGCTCAATGCTTTGTCCCTCCTCTAAACCCCCACACTATTGGTCCAGTTTATGGCCTCATTTGGGTTTATTATTACTCATTATTAATATTTATTATCATTGGTGTTCATGGTTATAATGTCAAGACAATCAGATAGACAAAGTTGAGTTTATTTTTATTATTTGTAAATGACACTGGGCACATGACATATATATACACACAGTCAAAATTCTATAAATAAAAATACGTTAGCACAGAATACACTTTACTATTAGTCATACAATATATAGCACAGCACAGACAAAACTGTACTACGGGTTGGAGGCCAAACAACCCACACCGACTTTCCATCCAAGATGGCATCCTCCTCTTCAGACATGTGGTCAACTGTTGCAGTCTTCCAGATAGCTGCCTCTTCCTCTGTCTGGAGAACGCCATTCCTGCTGCTCAGCAGCTGCAAAATAGGAGGGAATTAATTAAAGTGTAAATTTAAATTAAATAAGTATAAATTTATTTATACTCACTCTTCTTTTTCTTTGTCTCATGCGCGCAATGATCCTGCTGTCCTCCATCTTGTCTTTGTTCTCATCTTGGGCCATCCTATAACCCCTTCAAACAGTTTCAAAATACGTCTTGCAGGATGCTAGAGAGAGGGAGATAGTGAGGGGGGAGAATGTGTTTATTTACTAACTAATCTATACAGTTAAATAGTTGTAGCCTTGGGACATTCTCTTGTGACTTACCTTTAACAACAGCAGGATCTACGTCCGGTACAGCCATGGAGACGCCATTAAAAAGATAGGTTGTGACCTCGAGGTTGTGGGGGAGGATAGACTGTGGAGCAGTAATTAAAGAAGGTTGATTACAAATATAATTTAGAAGAAAGGACTGTTATGAAACAATAGTTTTAAAGATATACCTTGTCTGTGGGTCATATTTGTGTATGTTGTTTTCCCCATTGTGCAATCTCCGTACAGCTTCCTGTAAAAATCCAACATAGTATGAGGGCTCAATTCAAATACATTAATAAATAAATAAAGCACACAAAGTTAAACAGACACCGCCAAATGTTTGTGACGGTCAGAAAATAACTTACCGCAACAGAATTATTCCCTCTCTATAATTTCTTTGAAGCAGGCTCCTCTTTTGCCTCTTTGAGCTCATTGATGTCAGCCTCCATCTTATCCAACCTCTTGTCCATCGTCTCCAGCTTTTCAAATATCCTCTTCAAGCTTGCATTTACCATATACACCAGTCTGTTTTCGTTCGGACTCAGAGTTTGAATGGCCACATACACCCAGGACACCCAGATACAAACAGCCTAATCACCTTTCCTGAATACTAATGAGGGGGGCAGGGGAATGGGGGCAATCTTGAGCTGCCAGTCCCAAAACAAATTAGCATTTACAAAGCCAAGCCATCAACTAACAGCATGTGGTCAGACAAGTTCCTGTTTTCGGGCCTTTGCGGGCATTTACAGGTACGCATAACAAAGTTCCAAAGATCCCTGCCAAACAGCACATTTAGCGGGCGTATTCATTGTCTGAATTCTCCCGTATACACCCCTTTTGACGCAGTATTGCAAAGGACGCCTAGACTTTTCTTGAATAAAAGCTTACAGAAACTACATTTTTGGGAGTATCATCTTCAAATTTGAATCAAAACATGGTCAGACATTCAGTTTTATCTTTATGGTGTTTTCAGGCCATTAACCTAAAAGTCTGATCAATTTTTCCCTAAATGAAGTCAGAGAAAGTCTAATATGGGGAGAACTCCCACTCACATTAAACTTCCGGGTTCTGAACTGTTGCAGTTCCACTCTGGGTCCATATGAGGGCGCTCACAGGCGGAGTGCAGAATGAATGGAGGTCTATGGAGCAATACCCCTAAAAATCCACTTTTCTCAGGATATAATTTTTTGTCTAGTAATTTGAATGTTGTATTCGAAAGAAGATGCAAAGAAATTACACATTGCTGGGTGTTAGATTTTTTAGAGTCACTTATTTGCTTTAAAAAGTCTTTTAAAATGTCAATGACGTCATACACATCGTACGACCAGAGACCTGCTTTACGGCAATCCTACAGTCACTGGTGCTTTCGCGCATAGACAGACTAGAGAAGCCGCGAAATTTAAAAATACTACTGTTATTGTGTCACGAAATGTAGTTTTAATAGTTTTTCAGTCGACAATGTAGTTGTTGAAAGCTCAAATCTGTGGTTTATTTATAAAGATAGCGCTTATTTAAAAATTTGATCTGACGTTTTCGGAGTTGTGATATCCAAGCCTTTACCGGGGTCTCAGCGCTCTGCACCCCGCCTGGAACAGCCTTTCCTCGGTTAGTGCTTCTGACGTTTGTGGTTAAACATGACATATAACTCGTCTTGTGTATATCTAACGGGCGATCTTTGGTCTCATTAATCTTGTTCCCTGGCAAATCGTTTTGGCTGACGGCAAAGTGAAGTTTCATAACTTTATATTGTGGCTATTTTAACGTTGTATCCTGCTGTGTCTGAATCGTTTACTTTATTTATTGTCTTGTATAACTCTTCTTATACCTTTTAGGCTACTTATACTGTTATAATGTCTCTTACTGATCAATAAAACTGAAAAATAGACAGGGTTGTGTCATTTTATTTTATATAGCCTATATTTTATATAGCCTTTTCATTACTATTTTATTTGCTGTACTGTTTGTTTGTTTATTTTATTGACTAAACCATTTACTATTACTTCTCACTTTATCTTATATTTACTATTTGCACTGCACTGTAGTTGTACCATATCGTATTACCATAGATAAAGGATCCATAAGTTATCTTTGTTATTGCTAAAATCGGGTCAATCACAGAAAATGCTTTTTCCACAATAAGAAAACTATCGCAGCAACGTCCCAAAGCGGCCAATAGGGCGTCTATGTATTTATTATGTCTATGCTTTTGCGTTCTGCACTTTCTTTTCTCTCGAGGCATCTACTACACAACTGACACAGGTAAATACATGTGTGGTCCCGCTTCGGATGCCACGATGCCATCAAGCGGTGTCTCTGGTCGTAATCAGTCCTTCACTGACCAATCAGCGTCCATTAGCAGAATGCTAGCGTGTTATGGGCAACAACAACTCAACCTGTAAGAAATCGAAAGGACATAAGCACTCGTTCATTGAACTTTCGACCTATAACCCATGTTGGACTTGCAAAACCTACATTCAAATCTAAGATTTCTCAATGACAATCGGGTGAAAAAGACAAATTTAGCCGTTTAGCCCCATAGACTCCCATTCATTTTGCACTCGGACTATTGCCCCCAGTGGAACTCTGGTGGAACTACAACCAAAAAGTAGGTACAATAGGACTTAATAGGGAGTGCCCAGGCTTTCCGTAGACGGGCTTTGATGAAGTTCATTCAAAGAAATCGTTAGTCACTTTAATGTAAATTTTACCTTGTTTTACTCTGTTCCTATGCTACTTTGAGTTATTATGACTCTTGGGGTAGTTTAAATGTTTAGTCTAGTTAATAAAGTCTTTTTCATATCACACGTAAGGTTGTCCGTGTCTCAAGCTCATATCTGGAGTCACTAATCATAGATCTTGACTACTTGCTCTTAGTAGTACTTAGAAAGAAAAACATTTCCCATGACCCGGAAATGTACATTTCTATTAATCAATTAATAACCAATATTGAGCGTTCACTGGATGAATCGAGTAATTGGTTGTAATGTTAATGTAGCTACGTACATCAAGTTAACCCGATTAACTGATCCAAATATTCATAATCAATTATAACAAGTTATGATTGAATATTAATATTTCATAGAGATAATTCGCTACACTTGACGTCTCTTTTTTTACTTGATCTCTGTGCACTGTCAGTTGTCTGGCCCTTAATAGGTTGCTAATGTCCTCTTTAGAGCATTTTAAAAAATAAGCTTCAGCACAAGTTCTGTGTGCCATGCTTTTTTCATGCTCTTCGACTCTGGTGAACATGTCTCAAGTCTGACATTCCAGTCACAAAAGTGCTGTTACCATGTTACCTTGCTGAATGCCAGGCATACAAAACAAAACAATGCATGACATTTGCTACAATATGTCAGCCACTTTCTGAGTATGCCATTACCATCTCTACTTGTGAACACTTGCTTCACTACCGGGTTGTTCACATCTTGTCTGGGGTGTTGATTTAAAAATGCCTGAATCATGGCCGGGTCGCGACGAACAAAGTAATCAAGTACACCCTGATCTTCCTCTCTCTCCTCTTCTACAACATGTACTCCCTGATCCTCTTTCTAATCTTCTGCCTGATCCTCTCTCTCCTCCTCTTCTGCAACCTTGCTTAAGTCATTTTAGATTTCATGTAAATAGTTTAATTATTGAATTAGACAGAATTATATTTTATAATTCATATAACGTAGTAAAGGCTATGTATGTCAAACATTACTGCATTATTCAAATACTTTATTGTTATTATGACAATAACCACATGGTTTAAAAACACACAAACACAAACCATATTGCCCCAATCATTTGTTTGTTTTCACGTTTCACCAGACCAGTCACTCACAACATTTCTGCTTTTTATTCTGCTACAGCCAGAGCTTTTATTGTCAAGGGGTTTCCTGGAACTGTGAATTGGTTTAAACTTTCAGTGAGAGAAAGCATTGGCCCATGGAAACCTCCATGAACATTCATGGCGCGCACACACTTTACGACAGGTTAGATGCCTCTCCCCTACTTGTGAGTCCCTGTTATCAAGCTCCATACCGATTCAACTACTCTCCTCTCCTCCTCCTCCTGTTTGTCCCTTTGGCCTGCATCTCTCACATCTTTGGCAACAGCAGCCCATACAGAGAACATGTCAGCAATCCTCGTACATTTTGCAGCATCCGCCTCCAAACTTTTGAGCTTCTTTTCCCTGAGCTTTTCAGCACCACCTTTTCTCTTTGGTCTGTCCATTTTTAAAAAACGAGGGGAAAGGGGAGGAGAAGTGAAGTGATATTTACATAAAGTAGGTGGAGCAAGAAACTTATCGCTCCGTTTATGGCGCATTGTGATGGACCGGTCCTTGGCAAAAAAAAAAAAAAAAGTAAAATAAAATAACACACAACTTTGTACCGGCCCAATAGCGTGTCGGCCCACCAGGAAAATGCCCGGTATGCCCGATTACCAGTCCAGCACTGGCTATGAGCATAGTATGAGCACACAGTGAGTGCACTGTGACCATAGTATGAGCACAGTATGAACACACAGTGAATTCAGACTTCTCTTGCTGTGATCTCACTTTGACCATAGTATGAGCACAATGCGAGCGCGCTGTGACCACAGTTTGAGTATCCTGGAAGTTCACTGTATGAGCACACAGCGAGTGTGCTGTGACCACAGTATGAGCACAGTATGAGCACACAGTGAGTGCGCTGTGACCACAGTATGAGCACACAGTAAGTGTGCTGTGACCACAGTACGAGCACAGTATGTCTCTTGCTGTGACCTCACATTGAGCATACTATGAGCACAATGTGAGCGCGCTGTGACCACAGTTTGAGTATCCTGGGAGCTCACTGTATGAGCACACAGTGAGTGCGCTGTGAGGTTACACTTTTAGCTCGATGTGACCTCACATTGTGACTACAGTTTGAGTATCCTGGAAGTTCACTGTATGAGCATACAGCGAGTGCGCTGTGACCTCACATTATGACCATAGTATGATCACACAGTGAGTGCGCTGTAAGGTTACACTTTTAGCTCGATGTGACTTCATATTGTGACCACATCATGAGTATCCTGGGAGCTCATGGTGAGATCACTGTGAGATCAAATTGTTGACTAGC